GTGTGTGTGTGTGTGTGTGTGTGTGTGTGTGTGTGTGTTGCATCTATCATTACTTTGTGCACTTGCATTTATATCAGAGCCTGTTTAGAGGTTATCTGTCTATATAAAAATATGAAGGTGACCTGGGTTTGTGTGTGCCTCAGTATTGGATTTATACTTTTTAGTAAACCTGGTTGAAACAGCACTTTGAGCACAATCAGGCCCTGTTTACACAGAGCTGATTTTCAGTGAAACCAAAACATTTTTAGTTCGATTGTTTACACGTCCCTGGTGATCAGAGTGTGTGACACCAGTACTTTTTGAAACCAGGTCTTAAAGTGGAACATTTTGGTAACACCTCACACCAAACCATACCTTACAATACTATCACTCAGCAGGCATGACAGTTTGGGTCGAAATACAATAATCTTAACGGGACAGTACAGCAATTTACCTTGTCCCATCTGGTAACCCTGCCTGGCACACTACTGCAGCTGTGCTATGTATAGCCTAACTCTGATCCTGATCCTAAAGCTGCAGTAACCCTAACCTAAACTTAGTTCACAGCTTAGGGCTAAACTTTACTCAAAAAGAATGTTCTGCTGTATTAGGACCAGGCTTTGGTCCCTAAAATGACTACAGCTCCTAACCAATCCATCCTTTTAAGGGATGCACGATAACTCATTTTAGATTCAAATTACATTAATTTGGTTTTTATTATTATGACCCTCGCACGCGAAGTGTGAGCTGGAGTCATGTTGTTTTCGTATTGTTTTTTTTCCCTCCGGAGATTTTTGGTCAACTGTAGCACAAAAACAGCTGCACCAATCATTTGGCACGGCTGTAGATGAGTCTGACCTACACTGCGCCAGCCAACAGTTTTACGATACACCCCATATTTGAGGAGGGGGCTCCTTTCAGGACATGCAAAAAATGCTTATAACTCAGAAACTCTTCAAAATAGAAGCTTCAGATTTCTTTTGTTGTTTAGCTCTGATGAAGCTCTATCCATCAATCGAGTTAATCTGTCTGGTAATCATACCCTCATCTCAAGTCTCTGACTTGGGATGATTTGTGCTCAGGACCAGTGAAGTGTGTGGCATCTGAGAGTCAGAGTCACTGTTGAATCACAAAACACTGCTTCTTCTCAGACACTAAGCCTGAAACTACACTGGTTTAAAAACAAAGACAGAAAATAAGATAGCTGACATACAGCACGCAAACCTTATCTGATCGACCCGTTTCATGCTTCTTAATTTTCGCAGAGTGGTTCTCTTTGGCTTTCTGAGCTGCCTCCAGCTGAGATTTCAGTTTCTCTGCCATGGCCTGAAAAACACAAAGATATATCCAAAGACTCAGATCAGTTCAGTATGATCACCTGTAACCCTATGTGTCAGGCAGAAATAACCTCAGTTCAGAGCGGATTTAATTAGACATTAGACAAGGGTTTGACATTGTAAAGTCTGTAAACAATCTAACATAATAAACCATAGGGCTGATGAAGGAAAAAAATAAATAATGGCTGGTACATAAAGGCCATCTCAAGCTGAGAAAAGCTGAAATCTGAATGGAAGGAAAAAAGTGCTTTAAAGCTTTCAGACAATAAAATATATTTCCACTGACAGAACAATAAAAACCTGCTTTGGTTATCTGTGAATTAAATTAAATATACTAAGACATCTTTTAGACTTATATTGGTAATAATACTGTGACTGGTTCATATCCGGTTTTCTTACACTGCAACAAGAATGCTGCTGTATTGAGTTTTAGTCTTTAATAAACTGCACTTAGATATGTGCTGCTTTTTAAAGGAAGTCCTATCTTTAGTGTCTATTCAGGTAATGTAAGTTATGTAAGAAGCTGATTTCTGAACAAAATCCCAGAAAAAGTCCCAGAATGTCGATCTAAAAATACTAAAAAATAAAAAATAATAAAAAATACAGACAAATATTTTGAACACCTCCAAGGGTCAGGGCACAACTTGTCTAAATTTAAAGTTGTTCATTTTAGGCAACAAAAAAATAACTTGGACCATAAATGTTTCAGCCTTGTGTAGAATAGCAGCAGCATTTAATCATAAACTCACMGTATTTCCCATCATCTCTGCCTTTATCAGCTTCGACCCTAGTTTGTTCATCTCCTCTTCAGACAGCAATGGAATATCCTCTTCCTCCTCCTCTGTCTCACTTTCAATCTCAGTCCTGGTTAAACACATTTAAAGGAAAAAAAAAGTGCACCGAAACATAACAGTTACTGCAAATCGGATATTATTTGTAAATGAAACACAAAAGTACAAATTTTAAAATAAAAACAACTGAATTTTACACGTTATAATACTTCGGTTTTTCCTCTAACCGTCCTCCATCTTCTAATAAAAAACTGATTTTCTCAGGTTTAATTGTGTAGTTGTCTGCCTCAGCGTGCCATCTACAGTATGTTTATCTGCTATGATCTGTTTGAGTCATTGCGCCCCTTCCGGTGATCCTCACAGACTTGTCTGCGAGGATCGCTACTGCAACCTGAAAAAGCATTGTTCTAGGCGATTAAACTGCTCATAGCATCATTTCCATCTGCTACCACGCGGTGGGCTCATTTCATGCTGCAGGGGCTCCGATTGCCACTTCACCCAAACAACTTAGCCTAATGAGGCAAAACACAGAAGGTTTTACCGAACAGTGGTACTCTGACATCTGGCTGACAACAGTTCAACCTGATGCAGCATAAAAACACATGTAAATTAGTGCCTAATTATTGGTGTTTTATTAGTACTTTACTACTTCTTCTTTTAAATGTGCCTTTGATTTAATAAACGTAACCATAAAAACAAAGACATGTTTAAGGTTTTGTTGTATTCTTATGAATCAGTGTTAAAAATAGGAGAAGGGAGGGAAGGACAGAAGGAATTAAGGAAAGAAACTGTTTGGTGTTGAGCTAATGTGTGCAGGCAAATTATTAGTTTTTTCAAACACAGGCAACAAAATGAAACGTTTCGAACCTCGATGGTGCAGCTTCTTGAGGAGCAGTTACAGTAGGCTCTGCCGATCTCTGCCTTTCCTCTGACACTTTCTCTGAGCGGTCGAGCTCATGGGCAGAAATGCTGCCTTTCTTCCAGGCTTGATTGCTACTTCTCTTCAGGGCTGGGTCCTCGTCATCAGAGCTGGGTTTCAGGAATCTTGTGGACGGCTGAGCTGGAGCAGGACGCTGAGGCGCTACACAGAAACCAAGTGCAAAACAAATGGTACTTTTAAAGATGGGTGGTTATTTTTGCCTTATTTGTCGTATAAATATAACTGAGCAGATAATGTTGTATATAATTATTGTTCTTTATCAAATATTAAAGAGACAATATAAAAACTATTCAAAATAATAAAGTTGTATTTCACTGAGGTGAACCCACCTGCAGAGCTGTCATCGTCATCTGAGGGTTTGAGGAAACGGCCTTTCAGTGAGCCGAGGGAGCGGGACTGTTGACTCCAGCTCTGTCCAGAAGACGAGGATGCTGCTGCACTGAACTTATCTTTTTCCTTGTCTTTATCCCTGTACCGATCCCTTTCTTGCTCTCTGTTCCTTTCATTTTCACCATCTTTTCCTCCATCCCTCTCTCTGTCCCTGTTTCTGTCTTTTTCTCTGTACCTGTCTCTGTCTCTATACTCCTCTCTTCTGCGATGCCGCTCCTTCTCCACTCCTGAGTACCTCTCAGCGTCTCGAGGCGAGGGGTCTCTTTCATCTTTCCTCCACCGTTCTCGACCTTGCCAATCCTCATCTCTACCCCTCCATCTCTCCCTGCCCTCTTCGTCTCGTTTCCTTGAATGCTCTCTGTCTCCTCTACTCCGACCATAAACTGCTTCCTCAGCATCCGCAAGTCTCTTCTGAAATTCATCCATTGACTGTAAAGAGACACAGAAGTATGTAGTGATAAAACCTGGAAGCTCACTGAGTGACAGTGTGTCAGGAAACAAGTTCTGAGATCATTTCTTTTGTGTTTTCAGTTCAGATTTTAGTGGGTATGATTGCTCAAATGCTTTAGTGGTTCATTTTGTAAAGATAACTCATGTTTCCAATTTTAACAATCTCCAGTGTGAATGAGTGTTTAATAACTATTTAACTTCATACGATGAAAGAAAAACTATCTTCCCCCTCAATTTTTATCTTTTTAAAAGTAGCCATGTCAATTTTCTTAACTTGGAGTATTGTTTTCTCAGTCTAACATGTTTGAACTTTGAATTGTATAAAGTGATGTTTTTGTTTTCATGTTTTTGTGCTGAAGTGAGCATGTGAACGTGTGAGTGCATCCAGTACCTACCCCGTATCTTGCTGCTACAACCTCGCTGAGGCTGCGCTGCTCTCTCTCGGCCTGCTCCTTCATCCTCTGATAACTTTTTCTCAGCCAGCTCAGACCACCATCATTCACCACAGGACCTGTAGGACACAGAAAAATATTTACACCAAACATGGCCAGACACATATTAATAGTTTGTCTTATCTGGAAGCCTGTCTGATGTATACATAGCCATGTAGCCAATCGGGTGTGGGAGAGGATTTTGTGTATGTACAGTGGTTTGCAAAAGTATTCATACCCCTTGAACTTTTCCATATTTTGTCACATTACAACCACAAACATAAATATATTTCACTGGAATTTAATGTACTGAGAAATTCTCCTCTGGGTTGAAATGACCTGTCATGGCCTAAAT